CTGTACAAGAAGATGATCTTGACAATGCACATTTAAATAGAAATGATGTTGATCCAGACTTGGTTGATGCAACTATTACACATGTTAAAGCGGAAGTAATGGGAGATGATATGTTGATATTGAAGAAGAGTATGAGACATTGATTGATTATTGTACTCATAATGAAGATAAATTAATTAGTGATTCTGATAACAACTTCTGATGGTATGAATGTGTGCTTATATTTAGCTTTTGCTGATTATATGTTTGCTTAACCCTAGTAAATGATCTGATTTTGTTAGATTGAATGTATATAGCGTGTTAAATTCTTGTTGAACTTATTGCTTATGGTATGAAACTATGAATTGATGGCAGGAGAAAATGATTGAGATGCAAGAGCAAACCCAGGCGGGGAAAGTGAAATATCTGAAGTTGAAATATGTGAGGAAGCGCTTGGTAAAGCTCCCAGCTTCAACCAGAATATTGCATTCTCGGTGACTCAGCAACAAGATACAACAGATCATCAGAGCTAAGGCGCACAGCTCAACACAACAAAAAAGGATTAAAGAATTGGAGGAGCAGCTCATACGATATGAAGAACTGAAGGATAAAGTCAAATTGCTGGAAGAACAACATCAAATGTTTGAGATGATCACACATGACTATGGCAGCTGCACATGCACAACCTGCTACCACTCCAGATCCATAGCCAACTCTATTTCCAATTGATGATGAGTCATCATCATCGATGCTACATTGTGATTAGTTTTTCGTTGTGTGGGCAGTATATTCTGACATGGGGGTAGGACAATTTTTTTTTTTCTTTTTTTTTTTTTGGACTTTTTGGGGTTGCTTGCGCATATATTTAGATGGTGTACATGGGGTGGGCATTTTGTAAGTTGGAGTTATGCATAGATAAATATATATTGATGAAAATGATGGGTGCATGCTTTTGTTTTTGGTTATGCACACATGATAGTGCATTTTTGGATTTTTATTGCTCTATGTTGCAAAAAAATCCACGTATGGACTATTGACTTTACATGCAATGAAGATAATTAATATTGTTGATCCATATTTTTGTATTGTGTTCTCTTATTTTGTTGATGTTCAATGTGTTCACCAGGTGAATTACAAGGAGCAGCAACATTGTTCTTAAATGTAATCCTGTTTGCCACTAAAGTTTTAGTCGCAGAAATAATAAACAATCATAGACTAATCAATTATTACTGACTAAAAAAATTAGTTTCCAAATCTCATATACTATGAGCAACTATACTAGTTAGATGCAGAAAAATCTATTTTCCTAACCAAATGATTAGTTGCGAAATCAAAGGAAGCAAATTGGTCAAACACTTTTAGCAACTAAAATTGAGCTGCTTTCGCTGCTGATAATTTAGTCATTAAAACACACTTTCTGCAACTAATTTAATGGTTGTGCAAAGGAAATTACCATGTTTTGGTTCAACATTCTCGGACTAAAATTTTTGGCAATTACCACTAAAGTTTTAGTTACTAAAAGAGGCATTTTGCAACTAAAAAAGTAGTTGCAAAACGCTTTTACCAAATTACACTTAAGCATTTGGCGTCTATTTTTTTTGGGAATTACTATCCATTTTTTAGTCACTAAAAGCTAAATTCTATGACTAAATTAATAGTCATGATGCAGTTTTACCAAATTACCTTATTTATTTGGCGTCTAATTTAGGGAATTATTTTTCGAGGCAATTAGTAACTAAATTGTTGGTCGCTAAAGACAAATTTTTAGCATCTAACCATGTTTTTAGTCGTGGATACTTTCTGGGACAACGATTTTGCAACTAACTGGCAACTAAGGAATTTCAGATGTGATAAACAATCAGTGTCTAAATTTGACTAGTAGCATCTATTTTCGATAGTGGCTGAAATAGGCTATCAGAATTCAATCAACAGTGTCGAAATATGGTGGCTGAAAAAAAATTATGGCATGATATGGTAACAATATCGGTACCAATGTGTTTGCCTTTGAACACTCTATCTATCTATATAAATTTAAAAGACAATAAAGTTCTAATTTTTTGGGATCTAAAGGAGGAAGTTCCACAATGAAACTTTCTTCATCAGGTCTCAGACAAAATACACCTTTGTCATTTTTAAAAGTGTTATGTATAGGGATATCATGCAAAGAGGATTATTTTGATATCAACTTTGCATCCTAATCTTGTTGAAAAAAAATTTGATAGTTAGAGTTCGATGTCGTTGACTGGTTTTGGTGACCTATTAACTATTTTTTAATTTAAAATTTTTATATAATTAAGTACACTAACCTACCAATAATATTAATAATTAACATAATTAATATGTAATTAAAAATTAATTATAATTTAAGGGTATAATTATAGTTAAAAATCAATGTAATTAATATAAGGATATATTAGTTATATGTAAATTTAAAAATTTTAATTTGGAATAAAAAACAAACACAAGCTGATACTATTTCATGAAAATGGTTTTCCTATCTCACATCTCTCCCAAATGATAATGGTTAACACAATTCAAATTTGTAAACACATCGGGAGAAAGGAGAATGAACAATCGCATATTGGGAGATGAATATACATGCATTTGAGTAAGACAGCAACCACAAAGTTTCAAAATTTCTACCCCAAACTTTATTAATCACACCATAAAGTTAGATAATTAACTCAATTTTTTTTTCTTTAATAAGTGATTGACATTTTTTTTTTAATGATTTTGGGCTGAAAGTGACAGTTTTGGGCTGAATGATATTATTTTGGGCGTAAGATAATCATTTGGAGGGAGGGGTGAGACAAAATGTTAAAATGAAAATAAGAAATACTACACTCACAATCTCTTTTCACAATCTCTTTTCACAAACTTTCTCTTATAACCTTAATGTGATAACTTATAATTGATCAGTTCGTAATGGATCTCACCTAGGCCCACCTGATAAATTATGGTTGACCAATTATGAATTGTCACATCGAGGTTGTTAGAGAAAGTCTGTGAGAAGAGGTTGTGAGTGTAGTATTACTCTATTAATATTTATGTGAGTTAAGTATGTAATAAAAAAAAATCATTGATTTTATTAACGTGAGAAAATTCATTAATACATAACTATTTAATATAATGAGTTTTGTCATTTAAAAATATTTTTTTATTTTCAAAAATGAGATAAATAAACATAATATTCATATAATAAACTGCATTATAGCATTGTTAAGAAGATAAACAAAATTGTTTTTAATTTAAGTATTTTAAAAATTGTAATAATAAAGGTGTGAAAAAAAAAAAGAAAAAAAAAAGTTAAAAAGTATTTTAAAAATTACAGAATAAATTATTTATTAAGATCAAATGATATTTTTTTATTAAATTAAAATCTTCTTGAATAATATGCAAGAAATCATAAATTTAACTAATTGAAATTTTTATAAATAATTTTAATTTCTAATTCAAAATTCTCATTAGATTTGGAGTTCGGGAAGCCACCCTTGGCTTTTTGCCCTTGCTTGGTGGTAAAACAATCAGTATGGGAAATTACATATATATAAAATGTTGATTACTCTACATATTATTTTTCCTCTATGCATTAAACATTCATTATAATAAATAGAAAGCAATGCCCTCAAGAACATTATTGGTAGACGATAGTGACAAATTTATTGGATAAAGGGATGATTAATTAAAAAGATTAAAAAGAAGTTAAGTCCACATAAATTGAAGAATACTTGAATCAATCCTTTTCCAAATTATTAGACACAATTTTCAATATATTACTTTGAAATGTGTCCTTAACATGTCAACAGAATAATTAAGAATTATTGCAGATTAATAAAGTAAAGACTAGACATATATACTTTGTAACTATTAGTAGAAGCAATAAGAAGAAGTAAAGACTACAGAAGCAGGTAGACCATCCTAAAAATTTAGATTTTTTTTTTTTGTAACATTTTAAAAATTTGTTTTACATAACTAATCTTAAGACTAAAGAGTCAAGGCCGAAAAAGGAGGGAAAACTCTCGCCTCCCTTTTCTTCGTTAACTAAATCCTCTAGAGTCATAAAAATCTTAGACTAGGATTCTAACTCATCACCTTTTGAAATTTTAAAGAGTTACTTGTTGGAAAGGACGGTACGATGAAAGTTGCAAATTTTGTTCAAAGTTATTGTATATTGTCAACTTCTATGGTAAAATTAGTGGCGGCATGAGGGGCGATCATTTACTGAGTTTTTAAATTATTCTATAAATCACCAAGCTTATATGGGTTGTTAAACTAAAAGGATTAAATCCTTTAATTTAAATTGATGGCTTAAATTCATACACAAATTCATGGTCGATGATTTAAATTAATCACTTAAAACATTTTGTTGTTTTAATTATTATTATATTTTTCTCCTCAATATTTGAATTACATTTACAAAAATTAAGATATAAGATGGATACATGACAGATATTAATTAATTGCATGTATCTTGTCTTATAAATTAATAATCAAAGTCGGTCCATGCCAAAAACAACTTTTCTTAACTCACAGAATTAATTCCATATTCTCTCTAGCAATTGTCTTAATCTTGTCTTTTCTTTTCTTGTCAACAATCAACATGTGCTAATTGGAGGTTTGATAACACCACTGATGTGACTGTCATCATTTACATATAATATCTCTTATCAATTTACATATTTAAGATGGACAATATGCTGAACTTATCAACCACATGGAGACACAGTTAGCTTATCGTTATAATTTTAATTTACCTCATTAATTACAGCTTAAAGAAGTAGAAATTTGCATTCAATTAACCAATTGTAAAAGCCCACCAAAATTTGAAGGCATTGATGAAGAACTTCAAGCTAGTCATTAATTATGTAAATTTAAATTTCATCCACAACCACCCATTCCAGCTTGGCTTTTGTTTTCTCTGGGTCATTTTCCCTCTTACACATCCTATATAAACTCATTCCCCTTCCATCCACATCTCACAAGTCTATTTCATCAATTTAAAACTCAAAAGAAGTTGCTATTTGTGGGTTTTTAATTCATTTATAACTTCATCTCAATGGCTACTTTGTCAAATAATTTTATTATTACTTGTTTTATTTTAGGCCTTTTTTTGGCTTTGACTACTGTTCCTCTAGCTGAGGCAAGAGCTTTCTTTATCTTTGGAGATTCGCTTGTCGACAGTGGCAACAACAACTATTTAGCCACAACTGCTCGCGCTGATGCTCCTCCTTATGGCATCGATTATCCTTTTCGTCTCCCCACCGGCCGTTTCTCGAATGGCCTCAACATTCCCGATATCATCAGTCAGTTTTCTGATTTATCGTTCTCGATATCATTACATTTTGTTACATTTTGATATCCCTGTAACTTCTACTGTATATAATTTCAGGTCAGCAAATCGGGCAGCCAGAAGCGCCATTGCCATACTTATGCCCAAAGCTTAAAGGCGATAAGCTTCTTATCGGTGCCAACTTCGCTTCAGCTGGTATTGGAATTCTCAATGACACCGGAATTCAATTCGTAAGTCTAAAAATTAACCATTTCATGCTATTTTAAAGAAAATTTATTTCAATATAATCTCAGTTTAGCCTAAAATTGTTACCACATTTACATGCAGATAAACATTATTAGAATGTTTAGACAACTGGACTATTTTGAAGAATACCAGCGTCGAGTGACTGCTCTCATCGGAGAAGACGAAGCCCGCCGCCTCGTAAACCAAGCGCTCGTACTTATCACTGTTGGTGGAAATGATTTCGTCAATAACTACTACTTAGTTCCCTTCTCGGCAAGATCTCGCCAATTCGCATTGCCCGATTATGTTACGTATCTCATTTCTGAGTACCGAAAATTACTCCAGGTATTTCAAACATCATCTTTTCTCTACTGATACTAATGAAAAGAAAAAATTCTCTAACAATTATGAAATGATAATTGTGAATACAGAGGCTGTATAATCTGGGGGCACGTAGGGTTCTGGTTACAGGGACGGGGCCAATGGGCTGTGTTCCGGCAGAACTGGCGATGAGGGGCACTAATGGAGGATGCTCGCAGGAACTGCAAAGAGCTTCAGCATTGTACAATCCACAACTGGATCAAATGACTCAACAACTTAACCGTGAAATCGGTGGAACTGTTTTTATTGCTGCAAACACTCAACAAATGCACACTGATTTCATCAGTGACCCTCAAGCTTTTGGTATTCATGCTTCCCGATTCTTGGGAACTGTTTTCAAACATTTTCTAATTCTTATCAAAACTTTTATCTATTTTGTGGTATTTATTAAAAGCATATAATAATATATAAATAGTTTTCTGAAAATAAATATATTTTAGTGAAACAAATGGTACTTGAATTTAATATTTTTCCTAGAAATTGTTTTTGACATGCTTAGCTTTTACTGAGTCTTTTGTTCAAAACTAGTTTACATACGAACGCTTGCAAATATGTTATTATATATATTGAGTGTCTTCAATAGGATTCACAATATAACATGGAGAATCTTTTCATCATTTAATTGGTGAATAAATGGATTTACGTCTCCTATCATTTAAGTTTCAATCCTAAATTTTCATAATAACACATTTTTATTTACATATGGAATAAATAGATTTTTTTTTTTTTTTTAATTTTTCAATATATGGTAACTCTCAATGCATGCATGTTAATTATGTATTTAATTAATTTACAGGATTTGCATCATCAAAAATAGCATGTTGTGGACAAGGACCATACAATGGGATAGGTCTATGCACAGGTTTGTCAAATTTGTGTCCTGATCGAAACCTCTATGCATTCTGGGATCCCTTTCATCCATCTGAAAAGGCGAACAGAATCATCGTTCAACAGATTATGAGTGGTACTAACAAGTACATGAACCCAATGAATCTCAGCACCATTTTGGCCATGGATTCCAGAACTTGATGAATCAAATAATAGCCAAGAGATCATCCACCATCTATTTCTTAATTTCTTCATTTGGGAAGTTTTGTTGTGTTTGAATTAATGTGTTTGTGGTGTTTGTCAATGGAGTTTCAAATTGTGGTTGTTTAATTTAATAATTTATTTGTGATGTGTAACCAATATTCATCGGATTCTTGATGAATAATTTATGAGAAAGGGAAGAATGCAATTGTAATTTCTTTCTTTTAGAACATCCTCGTCTTTCATTAATGTTATTATTAATTATATAGTCAGTGATAATTTTACGTAATTAATTAACTAAATACCATGGTACTATGTCAATCATTTTCAAGTTAAACCTTCAGCCAAATCCTTAATTAATTCCTTAGAAAACTTCTTTTCTAAGGAATTACAATATAAATGGACTATATATCTTCTTTTTTTTCCACTTTAGCTTATATAGAAAAGAGTGCCTTTTGTTAAACCTGTAACAAAATAAGTAGATGTGAAGAAGAACAAATTCACTAGTATACATCTTCTTAATTAAGAGGTAATAAGTCGCAGCATCGCATTTTATACTATAACTAATTCATGCGTAGTTCTTAAATCATCAATGTTTGAGATTAATAGTATTTTGGGTAGTTGACATTGTATCTAACATTCATAATTATTTGACATAGAAATTACATATAGTAGATTTAATCCTAAAAGCATAGATTTTAACATTAATGCCATTATAAAGATTAGATATCATATGTGTCTATAATTTACAGTACAAATGACCAATTTAATAAAATATAACTATATTAAGGAAAAATAAATTAGTTACAAGTAAAATAAATACATAACTAATAATTTTCTGATCAAATATTATAAATAGAAAGTGTGAAATTCATTAGAACAATAAAATATTTAAAAATTAACAATCAATCATCATTAAATTATTTCGGAGGAGAGCTGGAATTGAAAAGGTTAAACAAGGGTGTTTGCAGAACTCGCTTAATGAAAACTAATAAATTTTTTGGTATTTTAAAAAAAAAATAAGAAAAGAATTGCATTGAGATAAAGTATAATTTATTCCCAATCTTAAATTTAAAACCAAATAAATGACAAATGAATGGCAAAAAATCACTACTATTTGGTCTTCGCCAAAGTTAAAAATAAAGAAACCCTAATTGAGTTGGTACCTTTATTTTTAATGCACTTTTGCTGTGGTGTACACATTTAAATTTCCATTGTTAAATTATTAAAGCAAATAATGTCAAAGTTATGGCAGGGAAAAAAAAAAAAAAAATTCCTAGCTGTAAGAGTAAAAATAATTGATATAGCTGGATTGACTCATAACTTTTGAGTTAGCTGTACCTACAAAACCAACTAATCACATAAACAGTTTCAACTCATTTTTCAGGCTCTCTCAAAATATCCTTTGAAAGGTTGATGATAAAACTCACTCTCAATTCCCTACACGTAGATTTTTTATTTATAAATAAAAATAATGACATATTAATAAAATAAATATACTAACTTGTTTCCCTCGATGAACTTCCATTTTAAAAGCAGGGTTATTGAATGAGCAAATATTGAACAACTAGAAGACATGAAAAATAAGAAAAATGCAGATATCCATCGATTTCATTCATTAAGCGTTAAATTAATGGTCACCTGTTTTCAATCTTCCTACCCACTTCTTAATGTTGCCACACTTAACTTTTACTAACTTTTTTCTTTAATCATCATGTGACTTCAATTTACTCCTACAAAACATTCAATTATGTCAAACCGACACACAAGCTTAGAGCCAAATATATTGATCCAATTATTAAATTAGAGTTCTTTATGTAAGCTCACATTGTAGGCACACAACGCAAGCACAAAACTAGAGAGAAGTCGAAATTAAGATTGAAGATTTATGCACCATAAACAGTTGAAAATTTAATAGACGTTTACTAAAACGTAATTATTGAAGGACATTTTTTTTCAATGAGAAAACAAAATCATAACAAAAGGAATCTTTAGAAAAATAAATATTTTAAATTTTTGCAAATTAATAAATACATATATATCTTTAAAAAAAATGATTTTATTTTGTTGCAAAACTTAATTGGCCACCAAAATTTTAGTTAGTTTAAACGATAATATACAACAACTTAAGTTGAATGCAAAATGTAATGCTACTTACTAAACATTTGGTTGCAAAATGAGACTCAATTTGATGTTAATACTTTCAAAAAATTATTTAATTAGTTCGAAAATTGAATTTGCAATGAAATTATGCAGTTGTTGTTGGATATGGTTCATACTTTGCATGGAATTGTTATTGTTTTACTAATATTTGGGCCTAGGTCGCGTTAGATTCGGGTAGGCCCAAATGGGTTAGGGTTTTTCTATTATATAATGTAATAGTGAGAAACCTAGGGTTATAAAAAAAAATAGAGAGAGTGAGCTGTCGTCAATTATTAATTTGTAATTGCTGCATAGTTCTGAAACTCAATAAAATCTCTTCCAAATGCTAGACGTAGTTCCTTAATTGGAACGAATCAGGGTAAATCAAATGTCCTTTATTTACTTTTCTATTTATTTTATTACGTGTGTTTGGCTGGTGTTTCAAGATTTGCTTAAAACATATTTTGAAACAAATAAATATTTGTGTTAAATAATACATTTATCAATTACACTTTAGTTAACAAATTAAATTAAAGTTGTGGTAATTGATTTTGTTGTTATGAAATGTGGCAACAATCAGAGGTATCTGATTGATCTTGACAAAATCAGATAGGATTCTCACGTGATTATAACTAATTAATTAGCAAGTGAATTATTAATAAAGATGCAAAAAGGATTTTTAAAGAGGTTCGGTAAGTTAACTCTCAAGCTTATGTTCTTTGTTTTCTTATTACTGTATTTGTGATTACAAAAATAAGCTCTCTCTCTAAAATTGCTAACCCCTTTACCATGATTTTGAGGGGGTTTATATACTCTTGGGTTGATAACCGAGTGATTTTCAAGATAATGGCTTGCGTTTTGGGAAGTTACTCCTATGATTGTCGGTGTAGTTATCATGTTGAGATTATAGGGAGTTAATCTCATGATCTTCTCCTTAATTTTAGGGGATAACGTTGTTTGAGGAGATAAGGCTCATCCACGGTTTGGCAGATAACTGTCAGGTAGCTCGCTTTACTTTTGATCCTAGCTTGCTTCCATCTAATCGTCGTATCACAAGTTACTCCGAGCTACAGCTCGCTCCAAGCTATTGATTGCTCCAAGCTATCTACACATTTTCGCATATCGGATTTTTAAAGAATATAATAAGGGGAATTAATAATTTGCCAAAACATTGGGGCTATATAAAATTGATCACCTCTCCAAACCCTATACCCATGTAACAACCAAATGACATTTTACTCCGAAGATTATTGATGAAAATGGTGAAAAGATACAAGCAAAGAAAACAGAGAACACACGTGATATCAAGAAAAGCTGAAAAAGATGAAAAGTGTGTATTTTCTGCATGAAGTTAGTTACATGTCAGTACAGCTATTATTATATAACAGATCAAAACGCACCGTATTAAGAAACATTTTAATTCTTACAAACACACCCCCACTCTATTATACTTAATATTCTCTCTTAAACTGAGCTCTCTCAATATCTAAAAACATTCCAAACCTAACACTACACCCTTACTCTACTATACTCAATATTTCCTCTTAAACTAAGCTCTCTCACAATCACTGAAAAACTTTTCTACCAAAAGAAAAACTATACGTAAGAACATCACATCTGCACTGCTACATTCCATAAGAAAGTCCAACAGCAACTCGTCTCATGCAAATGCAGCAGCTCGTGACGAACTGGTTGCTACAAGCAGCTCATCTCATTCAAATGCAACAGCTCGTGGTGAACTGGTTGCTACAAGTAGCTCGTCTCATGCAAATGCAGTAGCTCGTCTCATGCAAATGCAGTAGCTCATGGCGAACTGGTTGCTACAAGAAGCTCGTCTCATGCAAATGTAGCAGCTCGTGACGAACTGGTTGCTACAAGCAGCTCGTCTCATGCAAATGCAGCAGTTCGAACACCCACATTCTTTACGACGTATTTTCACGTCTGCATACTCCACACATTCTTTACGACGTATTTTCATGTCTGCATACTCCATTGCTTTTACTATTGCATATAGACGAATATCGTCACTTTCATCATGTGCTAACACCATTTGCTTCAACATAATTACCTGATGATAGTTCCGACACAACATTAAGTTTTTCCTTCAGCATGTTAAATCTGGCAGCAGGCAAAACTTTGGTGAGCAAGTCTGCTTTTTGATATTCAGAAGCTATGTATTGAACATGCAGGACCTTTTTCATAACCAACTCTCTAACAAAGTGCACATCAATCTCAATGTGTTTCGTCCTGGCATGGAAAACTGGGTTGGAAGAGAGTGCTCCTATGCTCATGTTATCACACCAAATAACTGGCACATTCTGAACGTGAATTCCCAGCTCTTTAAATAGATTCTGAATCCATACTAACTCAGTGGTTGTTTGACTAAGGGATCTATAGTCAGCTTCAGTAGATGATAAGGATACACCCTTCTATTTTCTAGAGGACCACTGTACTAAATTCCCACCAAGAAAGACAGCATAGCCACTGGTAGACTTCCTGTCTGTAACATCTCCAACCTAGTTAGTGTCTGTAAAAGCTTCTAAGGTGAGAGATCTGTGTTTGTTAAAGATCAAGCCATGATGAAGAGTGCCATTTACATATCTGAGAATTCGTTTGCAGGCTGTCCAGTGTGCTTCTGTAGGCTGCTGCAAGAATTGGCTAAGTTTATTAACTACAAACGCCAAGTCAGGCCTGGACAATGTTAAATATTGCAAACCACCAATAATACTTCTATACAGAGTAGGTTGATCAAACACCTTACTCTCTTTTTTTCCAAGTTTCAAACCAGTAGCCATAGGAGTGGTACATGGTTTTGAATCTGCCATACCTGCTTTGACAAGTAAATCCTGAGCATACTTGGTCTGTGTGAGTAGTAATCCAGTATCACTGCGCTGCACTTCAAAACCAAGAAAATATTATACTTCACCAAGATTTTTGAGCGAAAATCTGCTATTTAAATCATCTACTAACTAAGATATAAGCAAGTTATCATTCCCTATGACAAGAATGTCATCCACGTAAACCAGAAAATACATCACCTTAGAGTCACATTTATAGTAGA